CTTTGATTTACGTTCCGCCTTACGGATGCAAGCGTAAAGAACAACAAACGCACAGCGCTCCGTTGCGTGCAGTTGTTGCAGATACACATGCACACATGTAGGGATCCCGTTTACATATATACATGCATATACGCACATCTGTTCTACCAGTTATACGTAATATTTTGGTGTATACATACAGATGGTAATGTGCGAATGCTGTGCACCAAAAATACTTCACATGAAATGCACACTAAATATGTACAAGATTGGTATATACTATATATATATCATATAGCGGAGTATATATATATTATATAGTTTCCTTGTCCCGACGCTTTGGTATCATTTCAGAAGTTTAGGGATGGAGGTTTGACGTGGTGTCCAACTTTCGCCTTTCCAAGTTTCTTTTGTGCCGTGCCGGTGGAACGAAACATATGGACCGGTCATTCGTAATTAAGTGATTACTCTATTCTATAATGCATGGAATTGATCATGTAATTAGTTGATTGATTTATCAAATGTTCCTTTCTACTGTATAATGTGAGGAGGCGGCTCTATGAAGACGGAGTCGGAGGTCTATGAGCGCACTAGGGTTTAGGGCGTAGGGCTGTAGGACTTAGGGTAGCTACGCACCGCTACAGCATACAACAGATAGCAGGAAGACCCAGGACCCCGTCTCTAGTTTATCTCAATACACCAACGGCATATTACATCTCAGTCGGCATAAATTCCAATGCAAACTGCCACTCAATGCGCAGAATGCTTGACAGTGATATGACTGCCATTACGGGTTCTTCTCTTTAGGCGAAGAATGGAAATGCAAGAGCACGAACGAAGATACACGAAAATATGCAAGCAGAAACGGATGTATACGGAAGTGCACAGACGCAGATGTATGAGATGAATATACAAGAGAGATATGCACAGCAGTTATGCTTTCGGTAGAGCGTACCGAAAGCATGTACGTTTAAAAAATGTCTAGTCAAGACGGTTGGACAATAAAAACTCTGAAAGGGAAAGGAAGGCGGCAGCAGAACAGCAAGATGGCATCACTGCTGTGGCTACAACCTATAGACCATTAATGCCGTCTTCATCCGACACTGCCAATCGCTAGCCTGCAGTGCAGGGTTTGAAGAAGGGCTCCCGCTGCAGCTGCCACAGACGGCAGCTTCTGGCTGCTGTTAGGGGATACACAGCGACTGCGCTGCTCCTTCCGCAGCACTTCGTTCCTCTTCACCTCGCTGTTGTTGGTGCTGTTGTTGTTGCGTTTGCTGCTGATGCTGGTGTTGTTTGGGGTTCACCGGGACCTTGTTGAGAGATATGCGGACACCTGAAGCTGCACGACCGGCGAAGCAAACTCAGGAAGGGGAGAAGAATTAGAATGCCATACTAAAATTATTAAAGTACTAATATTAGTCCTAATTGCAAAAACTATAATGGCAGTGAGGATAGTACTGAATAATAGATAATAGTGATGGATAACACTAAATGGATTAATTGCTGGTGATAAATAATACTGAAGACTTGGATAATAATAAGTGCTTTAAATGCTTACTGAAAGCACTACGAGAACAGAATACGGAGGCGAGACTGTTCCTGCAGAAGTCAGACGGATTGGCAGCGGGCGCGGTTTGTCTTGGTCTCCATTCTGTTGAGAGCAGCAAACGGACTCCGTCTGTTCCTGCTTCTATATTTGTTGTAGCACTAAGCATCTGCCTCTGTTGTCTACCGCTGTCGTGTGCAGCTTCGGTTGTTGCGTCTTCTTCCAACTGGGGTGTACAGACACCCCGCCAGCTGGCTGTCGGCGCTGCAGGTGATCTCAGCCTCTCGCCGGTGTTTTTTTGGGGTGCGTGGGGCTGTTCACAGTCTGCCGATACACTCGAAACCCCTTGAGACGTGTTGGTTGGAAGAGGAGAACGGGGCAGATTCAAAGGAGATCCAGCAGCAGCAGCGGCAGCTCCAGGAGGGCTTAAAGCGGACAGAGGTAGGCGGAGGTGGGGAGGCAGCTGAACACTGGGAACAACGCTTGGCTGCAGACTGCTGCAGCAGCAGCTGCTGCTGCTGCTTTTGTTGCCCCTCGACAGCTGAACTAGAGCCGGATGGTGGTTTCCCTCTGCTGGAGCTGCTGCAGCAGCAGCTCCAGCAGGTATTTTTGTTGGCCTTAGTTGGTACGACGTGCCGCGTGAGAGAAGCGAACGGAGAGGAGCGGGTGTTGCCGCACCGTTCAATATACCCGGCAGTGCGAAGCAGCGTGCTGCTGTTGTGGCTGCTGTTGTCCTGTAAGAAGCGTCCGTTGCATATTTTGTCTTCTGCTGCTTTCGACGCTCCGGAGAGGACCCAGGCGACAGCAGCGGCAAAGAACTTGAGGAGGAGGAGGGGCTGCTTGATCTGCTGCTGCTGCTGCAGCAGCGCCTCTCCAGCTGAGCAACATCGTCAAATTCGTAGCAAATACAGAAATCAACCCGCAGCAACGCTAACGTATGCATGGCGTTTCATATTTCAGGGTGCAGGATTTATCGCAAGCAGCACTTCACTGTCAGTGCCCTACTGCAACATGGGGCTTAGGGTATAAGGCTTGAATCCTCACTAGGTGTTTGCGCGTTGGGCGTGTGGTGGCGGCTGGTTCTGCGTTCTTTTCGAGTTCTTCTAAGAACGAGTAAAGCCGTTCAAAGGCATCGCCTTGCGGTTTTGCTGCAGCTGGCCGCCTCTGTGGTGGTGCTGCGGGTACAACAGCAGCCAACACTGCAGGAAGAGAGGGCCCCTGGGGGCCCCAAGGGGCCTCCTGTTTGCTGTTGCTTTCATGCAGGTTAAGCTGAAGAGGAAGGAAGGAACCCCTGTCACCTAACCAACAGACAAACGCCGCGTACTCCCGCAGCAGCTGAGCAGCCAATCGTGTCAACGTCTTCAGCCTCCCCTTATGGCTCATCACAAGTTTGGGTATTACAGAGAGCAGCAAATCCCCCGTTTCCGCTTCGCGCTGTCTTTTAAGGTTGCTGCTGTCCTCAGCTACTGCACTTCCTGCTGCCCCTCCTGCTGAAACGCTGCCGCAGCTCCTGCTGCTACTGTTGCTCGACCGATGACAACACTGCAGCAAACGCGCTGCCAGGGCCTTCATTGGGTCTTGCAGGACCTGCTGCTGCTGCTCAGCTGTCTGCGTCTCCGGAATGCTGCGGCTCGTAGCAGCAAAAACTGCAGCGCGATGCAGCAGCAGCAGCAAATACACCAGAGAGGCCTCCTGCTCCAACAAAACCACCAGCGGCTTCTGCGACGCTCGCTTTAGCAGCGTCAACTCCGTTGTATCGAGGGGCCTCCCTGCATTTGAAACTCAATCAATATTTACATATAATATATATATATATATACGATGCACCGTGCTATTTATACTATATTAGAGTACAAATATGATGTGAAATAGTATACGAAGTGTCTCCGTTGTTATATATACATATATATAATATATATATAATATAATGCAGTATGTACATAGTATATATTTTACAGCGCAGAATATGTGGCTTGTATATATGTGTCTCAGTGAACCTCAGTTGGCGTGTTTCATATTTAAACATAAAATTACATAAAATTAAATTCTTCCAGGGCATCTGCGTGCTCTCCACCTCAACTAAGATGAGGTGTACAGATAGCCCAAACCCTAGTCCCTAGGCCCTAAACCCTAAATCCTAAACCCTCGAGAAGCATTCGTTGTTCCGCACCCGTGTGTGTAGCGAGGACCTTCAGCAGCGAGCGGCTTTTATCGAGCGACCCATCGGGGGCAAATCCGTACTGCTTTTTAATCTACAGACAACCATAGACGGACGCAACAGCTGTGTAGTAGATTAGTTGTTCTTGCTCGGTGTTTCGTGCTTTGCTGTATATCCCCGCAATGCAACAAGGACAAACGTAAGCCCCAAGGAAAGCTGCACGGCCGTTTGGCACACAAAGTACAGCTGCATATACACCTGCTGCATATTCACCCCAACTTGCTAGCATGAATCACTATTAACACATTAATAGTGCACATATGCCACGCCTGACCCTCTCGAATAGCATCGGCCATCGAAACATCGTTAATCCGCTGCATTTTTGTGCATCAGGTTCTCCAGCGTTTTCTTCTTTCGCTGTTCCGTCGGTTTTTCCCATTTTTCTCTCCTCTGTCTCCGTTTTAATGGTGCATTTGTTTGTTGCTGTTGGCTCAGCGTTCTCCTTGGCTGCGCCTTCGTCAGCAGCTGCAGTCTTCAAGTCATTTAAATTCTTGCGGGCCGAGAGGCCGCTAACAACGGAGGCAGCCAGAGCTGCTGCCTACAAAGAGCAGCAAAGAAGCAGACAGAGCAGCAGCAGATACAACTGCAGCAGATACAACAGCAGCAGATATGACAGCAGCAGCACTCATTAACTTGAGCGATACCTCACGAAGAGAAGCACAGGCATGATTGCATGCAATTCATGCAGGTCAATTTGTTACTGAGATAATCACAAATGCATTATGAACGCTGTTAGATCTACATTCATTATTAAATAAATAAAAATGCATTTATTATTTTTGTCGTCAAACCGGTTCCTGCCTACCCGCACACACTGCCCAATGCGCGGTGCTCTTCTTCGCAGCATCGCCAAACAGTCAAGCTTCACCTGAATTTGCTGCATTAGCAGCAACATCAAGAGCAGCAGAAGCAACACCAATGAAATCACCAGCAATTGTAGCAGCAGCAGCAAATACTGCACAAACCATCCACCCTCTCGGACGGCGTTCAGGACATCTGAACCCCGTAAAAGAGGGGGATGATGCTTCTGCCAGCAGCAGCAGTATCAGCAGCACTCCATCAACAGCAGCAGCAGCTGCAGTTTAGTTTGAGTAGATTCACAGGCAGCCAAGAAATGAGAAAGAATCTCGCAGTCGCCTACTACCAACAAAGAAGAAAGATAGGCTTCCATTGTTTTGCTGTTCAGGAATGAGAGGAGCTCTAGCCGCTGATGCAGGGCGTCGAATTGAAACACCTGACGCACAACGCCACAAAAAGTCCCCATTACATGGAGATATAACTTAGGTGTATGTACACCTGAACCTGGCAGAGCCAACGATTAACAGCAACAAGGCTTGCAACTCCTACAAAGGCAGCAAAGGACTCCTCGTCATCCAGAAGCCTCCGCATGCACACAGACTGGCGAGACAGAGCGTCGCGAGCTTCGAGCCACAGCTGCCGTTTGTCGTTCGCCTTCGTCAGATCAGGCACCAACTCCCTACAAAACAACAACACAGCACGAGGCTCTCTGTCTCCTGCAAGGCGTATATATATATATATGTATATTATATATATACGTGTGTCAGTATACATAACGCATGTCTATGACTATATATATATGGATATACATATATATATATAGATTTAGACATAGATATAGAAATAGATATAGATACGGATATACATGCATATAGATACATAGAAAAAATGCATTTTATCTTGAGAACAGGTGCAGGATGCATAATATATAGTACATGTATAATGTGTTTCGTGAGTAGAAGCGGTGCAGTATCAGTGGCTCCGCACAGAAGGAGTTCTAAAGCACTGGGGCTCAGTGAACACTGCAGCAAATCGGACTGCAGTCGACGGCAGAAGTTCAGGCGGTCAGCGCAGCCTCTCCTCAACGCTGAGAGGGAAATGCCTGTACACCGCATGAAGCACATTATGACAAGGAAGGTTCAGATGGTGTTTCAATGACAGAAACAAAGCAGACAAACCAAAGAATGTTGACACAGTAATAAACATGAGGGGAGATTACAGATGGCAACAAATGCATGCAGGCATGCAGCAACACTTCCTCTACGCACACTCTATGCCGAACAAAGTTGCGGCCAGACGGGGCGTACGTACAGTGCACTGTTTTGAAGCTGTTTGCTGCGTGCAACTCTCGTCTTATTTGTTTCTTACTAATGCTCTTTCTAAGAGAAGGCGGAAGGGTGGCGGCTTGGCGTCTCTCCTTCTCTGCCCGACTCAGCACAGCGTTTTTCGAGTTTTCTTTGGAGTCTGCAGGCGCAGGTGTATGCTCTCCTCGGGCGTGAGACGAAAGGAGCGATAAAGAAGATGAAGAAGAAACCGATGGCCGCACAAACCACTCAAACAAACGAGGGTCGCCAACCACTGCGCTGTCGACTGTCTCATGCTGCTGCTGCTGCTCGACATCGAGAACTGCAGTAAAACCCCAAACTACAACAAATAACAATAAGTAGAAAAACAAAGGGCAAGCAAACAAACCGAACAAATAACGAGGATACTGCAACGAATATAACGACAACATAGAAAAACAAACAACAAACACTACAGGAAACAAGTTACCAGCAATAAATACAAACAAGAAGAACAAACAAAACGAGCGAAAACAAAGGAGGGAAAATAATAGGAACGAGAGGAAGCAAGCAACAACAATTAGCAGCACAAAACAGCAGATAATAAAGAGGCAAAAGACATGCAGCAGCAACAGGTACAAACAAATGAAATCAACAACGACGAATAAACCAGACATAAACAAAGAAAATGAAGCAAAGAAAAGCAAAGAAAACAAATACCAACGGACTGCCCTACGAATCCCACAACGGGTTGGACAGACACTGAAATGCAGAAGTAAGAATAGTTGCAGGTAGAAATAAAGATTCCAATACAAATAAAGACGAGAGATTAATGAAATAAGCAAATGGGGGGGGGAGTAAGGAAATACGCAAGGAAGGAAGAAGACAAAGGAGAAACGCAGATTAACAAACACTGACACAAACAAACAGAAACAGAGAATAAATGCATTCGGTGAAGAAGTGTGTACACCCCAACAGTTTGTAATTTGAATCAGAAGACAGTGCATCTACCTGAAAACCCAATCTCCTCAACGACTGTCTTCAAAGCAGCACGCGCGGCTTCCCTATGGAGAGTAGACGGCGGCACACTTGGCTCATGCTGCTGATGGTGCTGCTGCTGCTGCTGCTGCTGCTGCTCCACTAATGTACAGTGAACAGCCTCTTCTAACTGCAGCAGCCATGAAGCCTCAAGGGGACCAGCAGTCACTGCTGGCAGAGACAACATATCCTCCGTATCCCCCTCAGCCCCACTGCTGCTGCTGCTGCTAGTGCTGCCGCTGCTAGTGCTGCTGCAGCTAGTGCTGCTGCTGCTAGTGCTGCTGCTGGTGTTTTCGGAGCAGCAACAGCAGCCGAGCAGCAGGCGATCTGCGCAGCAGCTCCTCAAGGAGCTGAGAGGTTCGTTTGCAGGTCTCCAACCCCAAAGGGACATTGCGTTGTCCTTCGTGCTACCGTTTTTGCCGCTATTCTCTGTGCTGCTGCTAATTGAAGCATCTCCTGGAGGGGGGGCCCCTGCCCCACTTGCTGCAGTCACCCGGGGCCTCCCGGGGGGCCCTCTGGTATTAGGAGGGGGGCCTGGGGCTCTCCCTTTTCTGGGATTGTTGGCTGTTGCTCCTTCTGCGTTGACGCTGCTCGTCTGCTGCTTCTTTTCTTCTCCCAAGTCTTGCAGCTGCGGAGGCAGGCAGCTGAATTCGCCCGTTGCTGCAGCTGCTGCTGCTGCTGCCCCGTCGCCCTGCTGCACTGGCGGCGTGGACCGCGTGGTGGGGGCCAATGCCTCCTTAAGCCGTTGGTTTTCTGCTTTCAAGCTCTCCACCAATGCACGTAGAGCTCTCAACTCGGAAGCAGCAGATGCGGCAGCTGCTGCAGGAGCATCTGCAGCACCTGCTCCTGTAGCAGCAACTGCTGCAGGAGCATCCGCTGCACCTGAGCCCGCTGCACAAACCGTTGCAGAAGCATTCGCCGGAGCAGCTCCTTCAGCAGCAATAGCTGCAGGAGCAGCCACTGCAGGAGCTCCTGCAGCAGCAATAGCTGCAGGAGCAGCCACTGCAGGAGCAGCCGCTGCAGGAGTAGCCGCTGCAGGAGCTCCTGCAGCCACAGCAACCATGCTGCTGAGATCCACTGCGTCCTGCCCCGCCGCTGCTGAGCAGACCTGGGGCTCCAGGAGGATCCCCGCACAAGAGTTTCTGCTATTGCACACTGCAGCATGCTGCTGACTCGCAGGAGAAGCAGCAGAAGTAGCAGCAGGAGCAACAGCAATAGCAGCAGAATCAGCGGGAGCAGGGCTCCCCACCAACATCCCCTCGGCTGCAGCAGCAGCAGTAGCAGCGGAGTCGGCGGCAGGTTCCAACGCCTGCAAAGGTAATGGCCAGCTGCCGCTGTATGCGTTTGATGCTGCAGCCCCTTTGCCTTGAGAGGCTGATGATTCAGGTGTCTGTGTCGCTGCTGAGGTGCAGACAGACGGAGAAGAACTGCTGTCAGATGAGGCCATCACAGCCGGTCTCTCATATCGCAGATTCACCCCTTCTTGCTGCTCCTGGTGTTGCTGCTGTTCCTGCTGCTGCCGTTGTTGTTGCTGTTGCTGTTGCTGCTGCTGCTGTCGCTGCTGGCGTTGCTGCGGGTCCGCAGCATCACATGGCGCTCCAGCAGCCATCGGGCTCAGCCGGTTTGAAAAAGTCGAAGCAGAGACATCGCAACACTGCAGGGAGAAGACTTGTCCACTGTATTCTGCCGCAACTGCTGCACCGCTTAGTGCTCCATCATTTGCTGCATCTGGTGCAGCATCTTCTTCAGCAGTGAGCGCAGCCCTCGAGGGTAAGTCGGACGTAGCAAACGCTGCAGCGGTGACTGCTGTATCTGCTGCAGCGCTTGCTGCTGCGCATATTGCTGTGCCTGCTCCATTCCTTGGTGCTGCGCATGCTGCAACAGAGCTGCTTGGTATTTCTGCTACAGCACTTGCTGTTGTGCATGCTGCAGCGTCTGCTCCACAGCTTGTAGCTGTGTCTGCTGCGGTGCATGCTGCAGTGCACGCTGCTGCGCATGATGATGGTTCTACTGCCGCGTAGCTCGTTGATCTGGATGCTGCTGCATATTCTGCAGAGTCTCCGTCAAGGTTAGTTCCTGCATCTGCTGCGGTTGTTGGTGTTTCGTCTGTATAGGGCCCCGTTTCCTGTTGCTCCCCGGAAGACGGCTTGCCTTCAGGAGTGTTGGACGGCATCAAGAAGGTGGGTTGGAGCGTCTCGTGGAGCAGCTGCAACTTTGAATTGTCTGTTCTCTGCGTTCTGCACGGGCGAGTGTAGTGAAGTGCGGTTAAAGAAAAGGCAAAAATGCGGTGCTGTCTGCACAGGTCAAGCGGCTTCTGAGGTGTGAACAAGGGGTGTTCGTAGGTGAGAAAAGAATTTACATGCAAACAACTCTCCTACGAAGTCTTAGGGGTTTTAATTCTGTAGAAGGTGGAGGCGGAGCGGTCGATGTGGAAAAAGTCCCATGGCGAAAAGAACGGGTCGTCCGCGACGAGTTCGTTGAGGAGCAAAGGAATTGCATAGAAAAAAGGCCAAATAATTAGTTACAGGCAATGATTGCAAATGTAAAAAGGACAATTCAACGAAGGTATTACTTGTTTAGCTCGACTGAAGGGAACTCGCGGGGCAGGTGATGGTTCTGCCGCATTCCTCAGAAGTGGTTGGTAGTACTCAAGTTCCTGTTTCCGTCATCTTCTGCTCTGTAGAGGAAGTGCAGAATTTGTTTAAAAGAAATAACGCGTTTCAATATATAATATTTATATAATTTATTGTGAAAACCTCTAAAACGAAAAGAGGAAACTTCCTGCTGAGACGGCTGCCGCCGCCGAAGCGAGGCGTCAACGCAGACGCCAACGAATAGGGCCGGCATGCCCGCGTGTATTCGTCTTTGGATTTGCACACCTTGTTTTTATGAATGGTTTTTACTTTAGTATTTATTTATTCAAGAAATTCAACATAAAAGGCTGGGGGAAGGTGTCTGGGAGCTGCCCACACTGCGGACTTGCGTTGCGGGCTTCTGAAACGAACAGACGGCAGGCGTTCGTTTTTCGGCCCTCTTTGCGGAGGGCAGTTTTTTCCTTTCTTCATTTAATTACTTTTGTGGAGAAGAAGAGGAAATGGCGGGGGTTGAAGCTGCTACCAACGATAATTCGGCTGGATCGGCCGGCAGCCGCCCTCCCGTTAAGTCCTCGCAACAACATCCAACGCTCAGCAGCTGTCTGTACATGTTGGCGTTCAACGTGCTGTGTACTTATGCATGGGCTAACGTATTTTGCGTGGAAATTAAACATTTAGTCAATTACCGCCTCCCCGAGGCGCTCTACGTCTCTGCCTGGCCTGAGCTTGAAGGGCCCCTTCTCTTTGCACAGAGTCTGGCGGTGCTGGAGGTCCTGCATTCGCTGCTGGGTGGGTTTGTGTCTTATCTCTTACTTGTGAAACCACGAAGAAGAAGAGAAGGAGCAGCAGATATCTGAGTAGACGTAAAACAAGATAAGAACTGCTTCCCCTGTGTTCGTGCAGTTTGTTCGTTTTAAATCATCTCTCTGCTTTCTTCTCCGGTAAATGTCTCTGTCCGTAGGCCTGGTGAGGAGCAGCGTGATGACGACAATCATGCAGGTTTTCTCTCGTCTGCAACTTGTCTGGCTTCTGTTCCCTTCTGTCCCAGCCTCGCGGCATCCTGTGGCATTACTCACTTGCATTGCAGCGTGGAGCTGTGCGGAGTTGCTGCGGTGAGTACACGAAAACCACTGCAAATGGGTGCTGCTGCTGCCGTACCTCTTTTTTCTGCTCTTCTTCTATGAGAAAGAACTCCAATGGAATGCGGTGTATGCATGCACGTACGGCGGGTGTTCAGGTTCCCCTTCTTCGCAGTTCAGCAGTTGCTGCAACTTGTTGATATTATGCGCAAAGACGCAACGCCTTTGGAGGTCCCCGTGCTGCTCAAGTGGCTGCGGTACTCCGGTAAGCTTGCACGTCTGCCTGTGCTGTATAGACACGCATCTGTTGTTGCTTGATGGAATTCAGGTGTTTTGTTAATTGTACAGAACATGAAATTCAATTTGAAGTCTTAAAAATATTATATGCAAAGAAAGCGGGTTGAGGCATTTACGATCGTGAGATTGCATGGTGTAGCTGTATTAACATTGCTTTCTGTTCTTTTTTTCTTGATGCCGCCATTACAGCTTTATAGACCTTGTTTTTTTCCTTATTTCGCTGCTTGTTCTTTTCTTTTTGTTGTTGGGTTTGAAGGTTTTACGGTGTTATACCCGATTGGCATCACAAGCGAAGTTATCTGCATGTGGTCAAGCCTTTCTACTTTGCGGAATTCTGCGGTGTTTTCTCATTATCCTTCGCCAATGCCGAATAAATTGAATTTTGAAATGAGTTTATATTGGGCTTACCTCCTACTTCTCGGGCTGTACGTACCGGGAAGCGTTCAGCTGTATGGACATATGCTGAAACAGAGAAGGAAATACTTGTACGGAGCGGGCCGAGAGGCGACGGCAAAGAAAGAGAATTAAAACAAAGAGGGGGAATAGATGAACGAAGGAAGGCAGAAGATGAAGAAAGTTTCAAAGAGGTGTTACAAACACCACCTTAGAATTTTATGGAGGGAGGCTCCAGGGAAGCTGTCTCGGCAGCGTTAAGGAAAGTTGATAAGGAATATTGGAATACGTAATAACAGTTAGAATTAGCACAAGCCAAACTAAAAGGGCCTGATCAGGTGCAAAGGGGCACTGCCAGGCTTCTAATAATGTATATTTGCCATTGCATGGTTATATGAATATATATAAATATACTTACCTATTGTACTGTTACTCTCTGTGCAGCGCATGAATGCCATGCAATATACCCTAATTGCATGCGCAGCATCAAGCGGTGTATCTACGACAATAATATACGCAAGCATATTTATATGTATTTGTTGGCATAAGTGAACGGATCTATATTTATATACATTTATTTATGCATATAAATATATGCATGCGATGCGTTCATTTATTTATATTTATGTTGATTTCTGTATGTACACGGACGTGCATGTACACATCCATACAGAATATATTCACATTCAAATACGCACATCTGGTGTAATCTCACAATAGAATATGCTAGGACATTAAAGCCTCCATCTCCCTTGTTGAGATGCGACGCAAAGGCAAGAAAGACGGAAGGAAAGTAGGAGGAGAACAAAGAAGAAGAAATAAATAATGAATGTGTACAGTTAAGTTCTGGCAGCAACGACGCAGCCAGCTGGGTTGCTGCTTACAGACGCGCTGCTGCAGCGCCTTCCTGCTGCAGCTGCAGCAGCAGCAGGGCCTAAAGTTGTAATGGGGGGCAAGCGGTGGGTGTGGAGAGGCTCCAACTAAACTTCTGTCTTCGTACAGTTGGTATTTCCCTTGTGTGTTCTGTTCTGCATTAGCGAGAATTCTAGGAGGTATAGGGAGTAGAGGTTTATTTAGGGTGTATCTACAGATGAACAATCTGCAAAATACTGACAGAAAATATTCTGATTAGACAAGCATCTTTCAGTTTAGTAATTTTTATAAAGTTCACAAGGAGGCGAAGCCTGCCGGCAACGGGGAGACTTGACAAATAAATAAATGTGTAATACTATATACAATATACAGCAGTATATTTTATAACTATATAAGTATATTATTATAAAATAATATATATATAAAATAATATTATCTATTTAAAGTGACAGTGCCGTTGGAGTCCTTTTTTTTCAGTTGATGTTGCTTCTGTTTTTTTCTTTCCAATTTATTTATTGATTGCTTGAAGCTGTCGCTGCCTACACCGCACTTTTCGCCATTCTCTGCCATTTTAATTTTATTTGTTTAATTAAATGACGCATGCAACGCGACGTAAACTTGCAGGAAGAAGAGCTTCTGCTACACTACGCAAGTACCTGCAGCACGCACAAACAAATAACACAAATAACATTTCGTAGATATGTATATGCATATATATATATATATATACGAAATATTTAGGGTATATGCATAAATACAGCATATATATATACAATTATACATAAATAAATAAATATGTATATTATATATATAATGCGCATGAAAGTCGGAGGGACTCTGAAACAGCACTGGTCTACCGTACGGAAGTATGGGCATTGAGTGTATTGTCTTCCACTTCAGCCAAACATATTTTATCTATACGTCTATAGATGCATACACTTTATACATATATATATATATATATTATGCGTATTGTGTTTAAAAATATAGTATCTAAAAATATAGTATATGCAATATATACAAGTACAGGCAAACATATATATATATATATATGTAAATGTAAGAAAGCATATATTGAATATTGGTGTGCACCTGTCTCCCTTTTGTTTATCTCCTTTGGCGTCTATGAACGGCTGAAGCGGCACTAAGACGAATTTCCATCCTTCTGCTTCAAGGACAAGGAAGCGGCGTTTCTGCATTGCATATGTCTGTTGTGTGAATTGCTGTTGCACAAAGACAACAAAATATAATAAAAGTGCAGCTTATAAAGATGGTTTGGTGTGTATATACACCCTGCTAACTGTCTGACTGCTTCGTCAATGCAGCGCGACATTCTATATCTTAAAGATCAAACAATTCTTTAAGGTACTCCTCGTCGGGTTTAGGGTTTAAGGGTTAGGGTTTGCTTAATAGGGATTAGGGTTAATGGTTTTGCTTCACGTGATTAGGGTCTACATAATTCAAAATTTGTGTCTCTTATCAGTCCAGGGTTTAGGGCTTAGGGTTTAGGGTTTAGGGTTTAGGGACCTGCCACGAAGGAGACAAGAGCCAGGGGGTATTCCACTCCACAGCGGTGCGACTGAGAGGGTCGGCGAGTTCAAGGAGAAAAGGGCCGTAGAGAAAAGGAAATAAATAAAACTCAGAAGATATAACCCGCAATAGAGGAGCGTTGATGTGCTGCTGCTCCAAAGGAGGCGCGAAGCAACTCAGCTGCAGCAGCAACAGCAGCAACAGCAGCAGCAACAGTAGCAGCAGCAGCAGCAACAGCAGCACCAGCAGCAACAACAGCACCAGCAGTAGCACCAGCAGAAAAAAACAGCGGCGGCAGCAGCAGCAGTGCATACGAGAGATGGTGCGAGACCTTGAAACAAGACAGAGCAACATAAACTGAAAATGATAATAGAGACATCCATACCAGTTTGCATGCACCGCTGCAAGTGTCTATACACCTGAAATCAGAATATTTATTTAATGTCACCTTCAGTTGCGTTGCTCTGACTTTGCAAGTGTCTATACACCTGAAATCAGAATATTTATTTAATGTCACCTTCAGTTGCGTTGCTCTGACTTTGTCCAACCAAAGACGAACGCCGGGCTTCAGTGCAGAGTACAGCTGAGAAGAAGACCCAAACCCTAAACCCTAAACCCTAAACCCTAACCCCTCACAACTTAAGATAAAAAAGGAGCAAGCAGCGTAGAAGCAAAAAAGCAATGCAAGCATCATCAAGGGCTCTCCTTCGGGGTGATTATATATATCAGAATACACAGATGTAAAGCTGCCGTTTGAGTTTGGGTTTTAGGATAGAACTAGAAGAAGTATTTATTCTTTAAAGCGTATTATCCACACCGGGGGAAAGCTACAAGAACGCCAACGAGTGATTAAATGCATCACATTTATATATATAGATATATATGCATATATATATAGATATATATGCATATATATATACATATCTATATATATAATCTATATATATATCGTTTCGTACTTCCGCATAGTCGTGGCGAATGCAAAACTCCATCAACTTCAAAGGCATCAAAAGTTTGTTTGTGCTGTGCACCGTCGCGCTGTCCACAGTTGGCTACGGAAACATACATGCACAAACCCTAAACCCTAAACCCTAAACCCTTACACTCTAAACCCTAAACCCTAAACCCCTACACGCTAAACCCTAAAGCTTTACGCAAAGCCTACAGTTTAGAGATTAATGAATGGCTGGGAAATACATTTTGATATACGAAAAAAGATGGGAGTACACCAGAGAAGAAATGCATGCGCACTGTTGTAGCTGCTGAAACTTCGTCGTCTTCAGGTTTATAGAAGGAAGAAAATGTAGAAGAATATAAATTTTGTATAAAATACATTTTGGTATACGAAAAAAGATGGGAGTACACCAGAGAAGAAATGCATGCGCACTGTTGCAGCTGCTGAAACTTCGTCGTCTTCAGGTTTATAGAAGGAAGAAAATGTAGAAGAATATAAATTTTGTATATTGTAATTTGTTGGAGTGTCTGTACGGATTAAGCCGTTCACCAGTGCAACCTGCATTTGTTGTGAAAACACCCACAGCACAAACTCAACAATATGTACGTCTTCTGTTGCTGCTGCTACTTACACCCAAACAAGCATTAAACAAGAAATGCAAGGAGAAAACAAAAAGAAAAGTAATTCATCACTTACAACATTCGATGCACTCAACAGCTTAAAAGATAAGAGGGGATATCCCAGCAAAATCAACAAACGCGGGTCTTGGATGCCTCTGAACTGTTGCTGCTGCTACTTAAACCCAAACACGCATTCAACAAGAAATGCAAGGAGAAAACAAAAAGAAGTAATTCATCACTTACAACATTCGATGCACTCAACAACTTAAAAGATAAGAGGGGATATCCCAGCAAAATCAACAAACGCGGGTCTTGGATGCCTCTGAACCTGTATATTCGCAGAGAAGAAATAAAAAAGTAAATAAATAAATTAAAAAATATAAAAATAAATAAATAAACAAACAAACAAATACACGGGGGGGGGGAACAGCTTGATTGACATACAGAAACAAATAACAAACACAGAATGAACGGAGTCAATTCAAATAATAAATAGAAATAAGACAGACACTACAAACTAAGAAAGAAAAACGAACGAAATAACAAAGAGGGAAAGACAGAGCAAATGCTTCAAAAAAACAAAGAAACCATTCAACACTCTATATACAAAATATCTGTAGAAAGTCTTAGTAATATTATATCTATAAATGTTTTTCATTCTCTCTGTTATATGTTATAATTCTGTCTATAGTAAATATAATATATAATTTCTGTGTACTTATTGATATTGTATATTTTACTTAATTTCTGTTTGTACTGAACACAATATCCTGTATCTGTTTAAATATTGATATTGTTTACAATAAATAATTTTTGTTTCTATTGAATTTAATACCCTATATCTGCTTGAATATTGATATTGTTTATAATAAATAATTTCTGCTTTATTTATACCTTTTGCCTGCAATGACATTTAACTTGGCTGAGTGTTGCGGCCGGTCGAAGATCTTCAACTGCACGAAGAGAGGGATAAGTTGGTGGATACTCTACAAAAATAAATCAATAAAACAAACAAGAGGAAGAATAACAATAATGAATGAGAATAGTAGGGATAATGACAAGGAGGAAGAGAAGCAAAGGCAGCATATGAAGCAGAAAGAAACAAGAAAGAAAAAACACTTCAACTGCACGAAGAGAGGGATAAGTTGGTGGATACTCTACAAAAATAAATCAATAAAACAAACAAGAAGAAGAATAACAATAAGGAATGAGAACAGTAAGGATTTATGACAAGGAGGAAGAGAAGCAAAGGCAGCATATGAAGCAGAAAGAAACAAGAAAGAAAAAACAGAAAAAGAAAAAAAGAAGAAGTCAGTCTTCGAAGGCTGATGCAAACACAACCATCTGTGAATAGACTACAAAAATAGAAAAATAAAATTCAACATATAAAATAACAACAAGATCTCAATGAGATAATAATAATAATAATAATAATAATAATTTCTGTATCAAAGCCAGGAAGAGAAACAATTACTGAAAAGAAGGAGAAAATCAACGACACTGGATCCTCAGCCCTAAGCCCTAAACACTTAGGCCTAAACCCTAAACCCTAAACCCTTAGCCCTAAACCCTAAACCCTAAACCCTAAACCCCAAGCCCTAGACCCTAAACCCTACGCCCTGTACGCCGTACTTCAGCAGGTAGGTAAGATAGATTGTTGACGAGATGCTCCGCCAGCTTCACTACAAAATCTTTCTCAACGAAAGAAGAGAAAAATGTAGAATGAAGTATTCGCCCCACATGCCACGGACGAAGGCCTTTTAAACGGCTTAGCACTGTACAGACACTCAAACACACCACTAACACCACCAGCTGTAGCAGCAGCAGCAGAAACAGCAGCAGCAACAAGAGCAGCAGCGGCAACAAGAGCAGAAGCATCAACAGAAGCACGCCCAGAAGTAGCAACACGAACAGCAGGAGCAGCAGCAACAGCAACGGGTGTACAGACACTCTTTTTGTATATATATACATGTATATATATATATATATATATATATATAT